AAAATATTTTAGTTACTACTAAAAATTTTAATTATAAATTATATTGGAAAAATATTTATTTCATATAAGATAGGATGGTGTATCAGATTGTTTTTTTTTTTTGGTATCCTCAATATAATAAACAAATATATGCCAAATAAAAGGAATTTTCTGATTATTATGAAAATTTGCTGCTTTAAGATTCAATAAAAGATTTTATATCTAACTATCTATTTTTCATGCTAAACCATATTAGCTTTGGTAAGTCCATTTTTATTATTAAAAAATTATTAAACTTCAAAATTTATATATCATAATTTGTCGTACTTCCCTACTATCCGATTTACTTCCACTCACAAAAATCTCTAAGAAGTGTTATTTAAAACAATTAATTATTTTCTTTATATATCTTTTTAAGTCATTAATTTGGAAAAAGTAATATTTTGTTAATATATAGCTTTGATTTCCAAAGCATTTTTACAAGCATAAAGAATATTCAAAAGCAATTTATGTACTGTATAGTTTCCATAAAAATATTACTAGAGATAATTTCGACCAAACTCGATATTCGGTAAATTGTAAAAGTAATTTGTTATAGTGATATATTCACGAGTTAACGATATTCGAAATTACTGACACAACAAGCCAGTGGCGTACACAAGGCGGAGAGAGAGAAAGAGTTTGTGGTTCAAAGACTGCCTAAAATATTTCAGACCATTTTACACAAGTTATAATGGATTTTTTTTAATTTAAATATTCTCATATGAGCACTTTTCAATTGTTGGTTTTTTCATTTCTTCACCCCTGAAAAAATTAGTTGCTTTGAACGTCAACTTTTTATTCTACTAACAAAGAATTAGCAAAATGCACTTAGACTTACATGGTTTAATATTTCAATGATTAACGAATAATACTATTTAATACTAAAAAGAATAATACGAATATTAGACGTCGGTCTAAATACACCCATTTTATTATTATTAAAACTATAGTCGGTATTGCCACCAGAAAACCCCTATTGTACCAGATTTCAGTCCAGAACTAAATCTGGAGAAGAGCTCTTAATCTGGTCTGATGACAGAAATTCCTAAATACCCCTAATATTATAATCATTATTCTGACACAAAATCGTACTAATATTTTTTAAACTTATTATTAATAGAATTAGATAGTTTAAGTGGTTAGAGCGTGAAGCAAAAATAATTAATTGTTATGGAATAAGTAATTAGTTAAAGACTAGAATTATATATCGATTTAAACATTTCTTTATTCCCTATACTATTCCTGTTTTGAGTCTTTAATTATTTTGATTTACATTACGTTTTTATCTCTGCTCTCGATTGGAACAATTTTTAAACTGAACTGATTATAATAAATAATTCATTTTAATTACTATAACTGTGATTTCATTAATCTGTTCTATTTTTAATTATAATTAATTTGTAATTGTAATTAATTTCACACATTTACTTCTATATAAATATCGCCAACGTTTTAAAGTGTGTTTGACTACGTCTTTAGTTGGTTCTAACACCTCGTCTTGAATAAAAAAATTGAACAAATTTTGAATTGTTGGCAATGTGTATTTAGAAAATAACTATATAAAATAATTTAAAAATAAAATGTATATGAAAATTCTAAAAAACTAAGCAGTAGCGAAAATATATATGTATATATACTTTACTGACTCGCCTATAACTGTATTGAAAAATTAGATTCTTCTTCTTTGTAATTAGATGTTTTATATATTAGCACTTTTTCTTTAAATTCAGTAAAAAATTATAAAATCTGCATTTACTAAAATATAGCTCTTGTCCGAATTAAATGATCCCATAATTCAATACAGGTAGAAAGTTGCTATTTATATTGTTATTGTTATTGTTCCTTATATCCTATTTTGAAAACACCTTTTGATTCTCTTAATTTTTTCGATTTAACTTTAACTATAAAAATCATTTTAATACCAAGTTATCCCCCTTAGATCTGCATTTCTTTAACTATCTATACGTTGTTTCAAATCATTTACGGTTTTCATTTAAGATATATATTATAATGTATATAGCATTTATCAATAGAGTTGCCATTAACTACTTTTTTTTAAGAGAAAGGTTTTTTTTTAATTAAGGTAGAAATGAACAAAATTATATAGTCAATAAATAAATCTTTTAAATTATATAATAGCATATATATGATATATTACATATATATGATATAATGTCTACATATCAAATATATTTTACACATATATGTATATAATAGTGCTTCAAAGTGTTCGAGCAACATGATGTTCAAACAGCTCAAATATATTCGAATTCGAAGATTTCAAATATTAATCGAACTATTCTACGCCTCGAGCAATTTGATGTTCGAAAATGATTGTATTTGATCATTGCTGCGGCTGTGCATCGATTCCGTCCAATATGCTCGAACACTATATGAGGCTCGAACATTTGATGTCATAAAACTAGACAAGAACGAAGTGAAATATGAAGTTGGACAGAATAACATAACATATACATAGTTGTATATAACAAAAGCAAAATTGAATAAAACGTTAAGCAGATTTGTTGTTCGAATAGCTCAAGCATTTCCAAATATTTAAACTATTCGAATCTGAATGTATTAGAACTATTCAAGGAGTTCGATGTTCAGACACTTTGAAGCTGTTCGTTCCAATCGAAATTGTTTGAACTGCGCGTATAGCTCATATAGCAAATGTACGATTACAATATAATGTTCGAACATGTCGGAGCCATTTGTTATATTCGAATCAAGTGTACAAATATACGCGAACATAAAAATGCTCGTAAATTCAATAAGTTCGAATAATATTTGAAGCTCAAGTATATAAACCATATGCTTGCTTATATATTATTTTATAAAAATTGTCTGCTCAGTAAAGTTTCAAAAATAATGAAAAAGAATGTAAAACTAATCAAAATAAATTTCAAACAGTTGAACAAAAGAAAATACAATTCACAATACATTTTATGTATTTTTAGATATTTTATATTTTATTTAAAAAATTTAACATTTTATCGAGTTTTGCTGTTTTTAAATTAATTTTAAGTTTTATTTCATTTATTAGATATAATGATTTTTATATTTAAAAACTATTTCTTTCATTTTAACTTTCGATAATGTATTTTTTTTGTTTAAATCATATCTTGTCTAATAAGAAGCACTGATTTTCATCAAACTTTATTATATTTAATAATAAGCTTAATTTTATTTTAAATTTATGTTTATACTTTAAAATTAGTTTGTATACAAATTTAAATGTAAAATATTTTATAACTTATAAAAATAATATTTGAAAATTAATGTGATTTTTTTGTTGTTTTGTTTTTGATTTATGACAGATTTAACCAACTTATTTGTCATTAAATACTTATAAATTGAATCGAAATATCGACAAATGATATATATATATTATATTTATAAATTAATTAAAAAATTATCCAAACAAAATAAATGAACGATTTGTTTTTTTATTTTCTAAATTTTTAATGCATGTTGTGGTTGTATTTACGAAATTGTTTCAATAATTTTCTTTTTATTTTAAGAATTTAATGTTGCAAAGAACATTTTATTTAAAAGTTAATTTTATATTATTTTATTAATAATTTTATTTTAATTTGTTTTTTAAAATGCATTGAAATTTAGATTTTGTTTAAATGATTTACATTATTTTTGTACAAAATGTGTAAGCAAAAAATATTTTAATATTTCCTAAACAGAGTATATTATTTATAAATTAATAAGTTTAGTTTTAGTATATAGTTTTTAAGGCTAGTTAAATTTAAAGAAAAAAAACACGAAGATGATATAAATTAAAAATCATTATATTCGCATAAAATAAAATTTAATAATAGTAGAGCTAAACTGACCTATTGCTTCTCTGAATTAATTTCTTTTTATTGACTCGTGATTTCTTTTTCCTTAATACAAATATTATTTTTTATTTTATTTTTTTTTTTTGTAACATAACTTATTTATTTCTTAACAATAAATAAAGTGAGAAAAATTTCATAATGTAATCTTTTGATATATTCAAATAAAAAAATTTTTTAAATTGCTGAGCTTATAAAAATATTGTTAAAAAATTATATAACAATAACTTAAACATTTTATTTGTTCTCTGCAAAGACTACATTAAACTATGACTATTTAGAATTTTGAATAAATTTACAGACTTTGCTGTAGGATAATATTGGGATACCGTAGGTATAGTCTTTTTTAATAGTATTATAATACACATTATGTAATGTATGCAGCAGTAAATAAAAGTTTGTACAACTTTAAAGAAATAATAAAGTCATTAAGTTATGAAGTAAACAATTATTTTACATTTTTGAGCTTTTATTATCATATATGCAATTTCTATTAAGGAAATTATGACAATTCTTATTATTTGTATTCAAATTTTATATATTCATTTTCGTTAAGCTTTGATTTTAATAACAACATTTTAAGTATTATAATTATTTGATATTAAATAACGTTTTATAACTTGTTTTATTATTTTTCTTATATTAACTCAACTAAATGTACTTTTGTAAAAAATAAAATTACTAAAAATAACAGCAGAGAAACATTTAATATGGCTCCTTGCAAGATATTTGTTTAAAACTAAGAATATAGAAATAATAAAAAACATATATATATATATAAACCGAAAAATAGTTTCAAATTTAAAAATATAGAAAATTCATTCAAAATTATATAAAATTTAAATAGCAGCAGAAGAAATCCAATTTATAGTGATTTACAATGAATGTGTATGCAAAACGAGTCTGTTGTTAAATAAAGAATTATACAATGTAAAAATTAAGAAACAATAAAGAATAGTATGTAAATAGTAAAATAATAAATATGTTAATCTCTATAAAATTTTTAAGTGTACAGATATTGAAATAATTTGTAAATGAAATTTTGGAAAGTATAAAATAACGATAAAAATTATACGCATTATATGATTCATAAACTAATGAGGAAAAAACATATAACGATATTTTTAGCTAAAATTTATCCTGAAATATGAATAGATTATTGGTTGCTGCTACAGCTATAACATTCTCTTGTGGGTGCCAGGCGGTGTGCAATATTTTTTTATTAAAATCGAGGCAATCAACGCTAATCTCGTCCTTTTTTCGCTTATTGCCAGTGCATACTTTGCGCGGTTTTAACACCGTTTTTGGTTTAATAATGTCACGTGAAGCTTCAAGTGTGACATCTTTCCTTGAATTACGGTCAAACACTCGGAAAAAATTATTGTAACTGCCAGTCATAATGGATGAGTCTTTTCCATTCCAACAACACTCGAATTTATCAAAAATGCAATCGTTCTCGTATAAAGAACAGAGTTTAGCACGCAGATATTCATGCACCTAATAAGAAAAAAAAAATAATTATTTATATTCTAATTAAAAAAAAAAACTTAAAATATGGAAAACACATAAATTATTTGTTTAATATATAATTAATATAAAATTTTCACATTTTATATTGGAAAAATATTTCAGATAATCGCTAATTCATTCGAAGATATAATTTTTTAGTAATTAAAATTGTTCTCGAATAATCGATAATTCTATTAAAGATACAAATCTAAGGAATAAAGAGGAAATATACGTTCAATATTATTTATCAAACATTTATTTATTTATCAATATTATTTAGCAAATGAAATATTTCGCGGATAATCGATAATTGAGTGAAGATGCGTATGTGTAATAAAAAAACAAGGGCAATATGTTCAATAATTATTTTTAAATGATATATAATCATTACTACTGTATAATTAATTTTTTATTTAAAAAACATTCTAGTAGATAATCGAAAATTAAGTTAAATATGGATATGCTTAAGAAAAAAACAAATATATGTTCAATATAATTTATTGAATAAAATATCTCCCATATTTTCGATTAGGTTAAAGACACAAATACTTTAGGAAAATAGATGACAAATATGTCAAAAAAAATTGATTAGGCAACTGAATTATTTCGCGGATAGAATAGGTAATTTAGTTAAAGATACGTATGCATTATGAAAAAAGAGGAGTAATATCTTCAATACTCTTTATGTTATATTTGATAACATAATAATAAGAAATATTATAATTAAAGCATTTTGCATAATCGGTAATTGAGTTGAAGATATATATATATAGTTAAGACTAACAGGGAAGATATATGTCCAATATTATTTAGTATTTAACATAGCAATTAAAGGTATTTACTGGAGATATGTCTTATATATATAGGAAAACAGAGGTATGAGTTTCCTTTCATAATTTTTACTTTTAGATCTACAGCGGCTGGCATTTAAAGTGATATATAAGGAGAGCGAGCTAATATATACCTAAAAATTTGCATTATATCAGGTGAATAAAGTTTTCATTTTATCCACAATAGTATTAAAGTAGAGTGCTGTCATATAGTACAGTTCAGCACAAACAAGAAAAACAGAAACCTTATTAACGTAAGAAAGTTATAAGACAGTTTAAAAACAACAGAAATAACTAAAGACAATTTAGTTGTTAATGAACATTAACCCAAGCCATTTAAAGACCACATAATGTACAGATATCCTGAATTGATTAAATTTTTATCTATACACCATACGAGATTTATTGATATATGGGTAACCAACCTAATGGGATGCTTTATTGGGACCTAGACTACAGTTAGTATATCCACATATTCCTTTTGCTAATTCCTACATGTAATCTCTTTATATTCGCTATTCCGTACCATTAAACTAGTTTTGTTATAAATACTTTTATGTGATTGTTTTCTTGGACATACTGGGTTAAAATTACATAGGATAAATTGATATTACTATAGCAAATCATTTAAAAATTATTTTTTTAAACAAAGAAATAATAATACATTATTATTACCGGATAAGTTTCAATGGGTTTTGTTTCCATGTGTAAATCCCACACTTTAATACTTAAATAATCTCTAGAGATCATATAACGTCCTGAATTACTCAATTTCACATCACTTATCGAACTAATGATCTCACTGAAAAAACTTCGGTTCGTTGGATTTTCCGGCTCCTCAAATTGCTTGCTGTGCCTATCACACAGCGCTGATGATCGCATATCACATAAACGAATTGTGCCCTTTGAGCTTGAGTACACAAACACATTGCACTCTGTCGGATGAAATTCAGCCGCTGTTATAACTTCTGTTAATTCTTCCATATTAGTTGGCTTTATGTCGACTATATTAAAGCTCTGATCCGTCACTTCTAGGTGCCACAGGTTGATTCTTAAATCATCAGCAGACAAATATGTTTCTTGATCAGAATTAACACTAATTGAGTTTATGTGATAGGTATGTGCATTGGCGAAAATACGGCGTGGTGATGCTTCAACCATTAGTGGAATATTCTTCACAGCAGGAACTCTTAAGGCGGTTACATTTTGTGGATCCTTAGATATCCCATTCTCTTCTTTTGTATTATATCCTTCAAATGACTTATCACGTTCGCTGACTTTCCATAATTTAACGGTTTTATCGTTCGTTGAAAGCAGGAAGTGGGCAGGATTTTTACGCTTAAGCCATCGTATTTTATTTATTTTTTCTTCAATTTCTAATGATTTGAGATAGTCAAATTCAGGCTCATGCGATTGGAATGTCGAATAGACATTATATTCACCACGTCGAGGAATTGCTGTTTTTGAAGCAGCATCACGCTATATACAAAAAATAAATCAAATTATTAAAATATGTTTAATTATATTTAAATATTAAGATTTTAACCTGGAATATTACTACACGTCCACCTTTGTCACCTGTCGCCAATAACTCTCCATCATGATTAAATTCAACACATGATATAATATCAGCATCTGTTACATCATCATCTAATGCTCCTTTTATTTGTGAGAAGCACCAAGACGCTTCTCCATTACCTAAAAATGAAAACAAAAATTAATATATAGTAATATGACAATAATTTGATTTCTATTTTATTATCTATACTAAATAAAATTACTACTTTTTAAATCAACATTTGAACATTTAAAATCATAGATATTCCATATTATAATTATACAATTTGGTATATATTGGAATATTGAATTCATAAATCGTTTTATTCATGTATGTCTACTAGATAACCGAGAAATTAATTGTAACCACTTTTTTGCGTTATGTATGTATGTGTGTGATTTTGCAATTTTAGGTAGAGCATAGAGCTATATTCATATGAGTAAGAAAATGTGATTCTTTTTAGATTACATAATTGATGTCCTTTAAGTGGTTATCGTTTCAGTTAGTAGTAACACAGGGGCTAATAATATATAATAAAGATATATAGATTTATTCTTATTATTTATTTATTTTAACGCCAACGGGGTTTTTATAATAATTCTATAATAATTGAGAAACAGTTAAGCATAGAAAAATCTATTTAAGGAAATATGGAGGAAATAATCGATCATAATCAACTGCTTGAAATACTTTAATCATTTATATATATCTATCTGATCAGAAAAAAATTTTATAAAAATTATTTCTATAGCAATGAATTTTTATTTCTTAATGGCTATTGGAACAGCCATTTGTAGTGCATAGTGGACCTAAATTCGATTACATGTAAAAATGTTGTTTAAAAATGGTTTCACTTCAAAATAGATGGCACTAACTACTAACTGGAAGCAAATCCGGTATCGGTGAATAAAAACTTAATTACTTACAAATTTATATGAAAACGAAAATGCAAGATTGGGCATAAGGAACTTGATGCCATATGTTTCATGGAATTGCAATTTGACCAACCAATAAAACCTGAATACTTGATTAAACTATATACTTGAATTTATATCCTTAACAACTAATGTACTGGATATGAAAATAATCAAGAGGAAAAATTATATCTTGGCTATTCACATCTTTGGTAACACCATAAACATTGAAAGAAGTTTTTAGGCCCACACCATATAGTGGTAACATAGCTCCGTTAGATAATTACTTGTTCCGATTACTTGTTCTGCAACACTGTCTAGCTAACGTAAAATTTAGCTCAAAACTTTAAAAAACACCTCGATTTGCTTAAGTTTTTCAATAATAAAGTCTAAACATCTTTCACTTGACGTCTCTTGCTGGAACGATTCCAATTTAGCGGACACCTACTTGCCAGCGGATTTAAGTAAAAACAGTTATTTTGAACTCAATCGGATTGGCGCCCGATATTGGCTTTTGGCTTATTGAAGAGTAGGTGGTAACTAACTGTTACACCTGCTTTTCTCAGCGGAAAAAGGGGCTAGAATATTGTAAGGCATGCCTGTCGTAAGAGCCAACTTAAATCCATTAGACACTACCCTGTAATGTTTAAAGTATCACTGGTAATGAATAAGTTCCATTTGCGGCACTCCACCATTGGTGTAAACCTGTTGGGGTCCGCAGCTTCGTGTGTCCTGACCAATATGGATTGATCATATTTGGATTAAAATCCGAATATACGTGGGTAGAATGATTATATTTATTTAATTTTATTCGATATGGAGTTGCATTTTGCAACCGTGTGCTGTGAATCAAAGAATATATGTAGTCTAACAGAGGTATAAGATATGTCTCGGTCGCTTCTAAGGAGGAAACTATATCTAAACGAATAACTTTAATTGCTACCAGCAGAATTCCGATGAAGTGTGTATTTTACCCATATGTGTGTTAAATACATTGTGGTGTTATACCTGCAAGGCTGATAAATACATCAAATAACCCTGGACTCTGTCACAGCTGCACTCAATTTAAAGGGAATAGAGTACAGTCATCTTAGGTAAACTGCTCTTACACTAGGTGATTTAAATACACAACAGGTGCCAAAGTCAAAACAATATCAATTACGTTTCGACTTCATCAGGTGTTTAGTTAGCTTTTTGCAAAAATAAAAAAATAATGAATATCGTTCAGTAATAAAAGTCCTCCATTTGAAAGGACGATTGTGCAAGGGTACCATAAACAGAATTCATTTCCAATTCGATTGCATTGTTGCATGTGAGACAACATCACTTTTTCAAGAAAGTGCTTGCATTAGGAGAATAACGTAGATCAGAACTCACATGATACGAGTATCGGCTCGCATCAAACGATATGGATGAAGCGATTTATTGAAGAAAGTCAAAGATAGGTTTAGTACCAATGATGATGTTATTATTATATGCAATGGAATCTTTAAAATATTAATAAAGCCTCTTGCAAAACGTGTCAAATTTTCAGTCTGTGACTTAACGTATTACCCAACTTCTACTTCTTTGCAATTTCTAAAACATTATCTTTTAAATAATTGTTTTTATAATATAACAACATAACTAAACTTTGCCCATTGTGATGTCATTACATTGCTGATAGCAATATTTAAACTATTTCCAAAAGATAATAATAATAGTAAGAGTTTATTTTATATTAATTATTTAAAAGCAAAACTAATGACCGACCTTCTACAAAAGCACATATTAACTACTTTTAGAGTAGGAATTGTTTATCAAGAATTTGAAATTTCTAAAATTAGATTTTATCTATTTCGCTAATCAAAGAACATAAACTAATGTAAAGTAAAGAAAAATAAATTGAGAATGAAATTAAATATATGTATAGTAAGTAATGCATAATGTATTATATCTAAATATAGCAATTTTATGTATGTATTTCAACAAAGGTATCCAAAAATTCACTGTAACAGTATTTGCACAACTGAATTCCTCCTCAGCGCTACTTTTATGAAACGTTCGAAATTAATATTTGGCAATAGATTTGATTTGAGCAAAGAATTCGGTACATTATTTAAAATTGAAATGCACGATTGACATGAATAAATAACGAAATATCGGAAAAAAGGTGACTACAAATAGAATTTTATAAAGACAAATAGAGAACATCATCAACAACTCGTTATTGAAGAATGTACAGGGAAAGTTGGTTACGCCCTTTTTTCTTAACGAGGTTGGAGTGCTCTTGGTTCTTAAATTTTTTTCTAATATAATGACGTAATTTCACACCGTTTAAAACTTAAAAGCAA